TAGTAGTATAAAATATAATAAAGCTCTGTCGTATGCTATTGCTGTTATGGTTAAGTGGTTCATCCACAAAAAGGTCGTGTTGATTAGTAGTAATGATAGATCTACTAATTGTTCCAGTGTTAAATTTGTTCTATTATTTCGTTAATTGATTTTAATATGTCTGATTCAATAAATTTAGTTATAGTTAATTGTTCTATTTGTTCTTCGAATAGTTCCTGGTTTGTCGATAAGGATATCAGTCTTGTTCTGTGATATAATCGTCGTTGAGTTGCTTTAATGTCTGTTTGTTCTGATAGTATCAGGTTCTTGTATTCGATTAAAGTATCTCTTATTTTGTTTTTCCAATATTGTTTTGTTCTAGGTATTCACTTCTGCTAATCTAATTATCCTTTGATTAATTAGGTCATGGACGTATTCGGGTGTTACCCTTCCATTTTTCAGTTGGGATATTTCTCCTATGGTTGTATATACTAAATTGTGGTTGTTTATCTTTGCTCTTTTTGCTGTGTTTAGTAGTAGTTGATGCTGTATGTTGATATATGTTATAGCGTTTCTTGTCAAACTTCCTATTAACGGTAGATTTCTTTGCAGGTCGTTATCTCTCTGTATTCTGGTTTGATATACTTCTTGTAATGCTCCTCGTAGGAATATTAATACTAGTTGAGAGTGTGTTGCCGGTCCTTGGGTATTTATGCTAATTGTGTTGAACTTGTTTGATATAGTCATTCAATTGTTTGTTGATAGTTTCTTTTAGTATCCAGTCAAACCTTTTGTTAGTTTTTCTTAATGGTGGTCCCTCTTCGCTTATATAGTTTAGTATTTTCACACGTCAGGTTTAGGTTGTCGCAGTTTTTGCAGGTTTGATTGAGTCCGTAAGTACACCTTGTTCTTGATATTCTACAATTATCGCAGGCTTTAGTATTTCTTTGAGAGTTCCTTGTATATTTTTTGTAATGGTTCTTTTGATATGTATTGTTTGTATGCATTTGCATAGTCTTGGTCTGTTCTGATTGTTGGTCTTTATATATTTTTTGTTTTATTACATTGTTTTGGTTCTGGCGTTTTGCCAAGATAAATATTTATAATAGGATACAATAAAAATATAATGATATTGTTTGTGAGCTAATTATACGATAAGCTAAATATGGTATTGTTTGGTCTATTTATCATTTGTTGATGTGCTTGTACTATATCTAACAATCTTTTTAGCACCTTCTTCCAGGTGCTCAATTCTTCTTTTGAGTACATGGTTCTCATTTTTGAGGTTCTTTATTTCCGTTTCCAGGGTCTCAATTTGTGATATCGTTTTTAGGGTTGTCTTTTCAAGTACTGACAATCTTTGTCTCATTTTTTCTTGTTCCCTTTCATTTTTTTGCTGAAGTTCAGGGTTATTAAGGTCAATTTCTTTAGGTCTGTGGCATTTTGGGATATATCTTCCTGGTACCGATCTCTCGTGATTTCTTCAATGTAATCATCTAGTTCCTCGATGTTCTGTGTTTCGTATTTAAATTCATCGCTTTCGTATCCGTCCTCAGTTTCTCTATGCCATTCTATCTTGTTCTGTAATTTTTCTTTAGAGGTCATTGTAGCTTGTTCTTTGATCTGCTTTTCTATTTCCAATTCTCTTCTGATATTGTTTAATTCTTTTTCTTGTTCAGTTTGTTCTTTTTCTATTTCCATTTGTTGTCTGTTTTGTTCGGGTTCTTCGTCAAAGTTGATCGTTCTTTCTTCAATTTCCATAAGACATTCTGGACAATATTCATTTCGATAGTTTTTGTTCTCAGTATGTATTTCTGGTATTGGCATTAGGCATACTCTGCAAAGGTTCCAAGCTTGTATTTGCATTTGTTCTTGGTAGTCTTCTAGCTTTTCTTTTTCTTTTGTATTGATGGTCATTGAATTTTCCAGTCCTATAGCCAGTCCTTCAAAGTTGCTGTCATAGCCATCAGATTCTTCAGTTATTTCCCTGTTTCCATTTCAGTAATATCAGTAGTAGTTCATAATATCGTCTTCTTGGTCATTAATAATGGTTTTGAAATTTGGGTTATTGTGGTCCAACTGGTCCGTTTCATTTATATATTTGTATATTCTTCTAATTTTTGATTCATTTATATTGTAATACACATTTATTTGATTTCTGGTGTATGTATGAATTTTCTTCATTATTTCTTGGTCATCTATGATCTGTTCTTCTAATAAATAAATAAGATTTGCGAGTTTCTCTTCTTTGCTACAGAAGAATCGTGCTTGCCAATCTTCCATTTTTCTTTTAAGGTTCTGTCTTCCGCATAAGTAACAATTTACAAGTCTTCCCTGTTCCAGAGTTTGGTAGTATTTCTGTGCTCGCTCGTCCCTAATATCAAGTTCTTCGAGATATTCTCTATAGCATCCATTGCATATCATCTGCTCTGGCAGAAATACCGGTTCGAAAGTTTTAGATGACTTGTAGAGTCCTTGTATGTAGTATAGGTTTACGGATGCTGTTGGTTTGTTGCAGTTACAACAATGATAGTGGTCTCGACTTTTTGAATATGAGGCCCATTCTGTATATTGTTGTCATTTTAATAAGATCTCCTTTGCGTTATATCCGCATAATAAGCTTCTGTTTTCTTTCAACACTCTCTGTATACTTTACAGTTTTCATTTCTGTGATTTTCTCCACAGAATTTGCAAGTAAATATTCTTTGGGATGGTCCTTGTTCATTGCTCCAATTTTGGTTGCTCGGATCGCTATAAGATCTTCTCGGATTATTGTTTAATTGGTCTGATCTGATTTTGTTTGGGCAATCCCTCGATTGGTGACCTTTTTTATTGCATGAAAAATATTTCTGATTTGGACAATATCTATTCATGTGTCCTTTTTTGTAACAGATTCTGCACGTGAATTCCCGTGTACTTTGTCTTCTCAGGATTTCTTCCTGTTCCTTGTCGAATCCTTCTCTAGTATACTTGACAAATGCTTTCGATATCCTTTCGATGATCGGTTTATCAAACTCTTCTCTTGAGATTTCCTGTAATTCTTGGTCTTTTATAATTTTACAGTTATGTTTTTCGGGTTCTTCAACATGCTCGTCACACTATTTGCAGTAGTTTGGTCCTCGTTGAGTCCAACCATTAGATTTGTTTGGGTTCATTTTAGTTTTCCTTCGATTTCGTTTTTTAGGGTTATAAGTTTTGTTATTGTTAGTTCAGTTATTTCTTTGATGATTCTTTCTCTTTCTTCCGTATAGGTTGGGTTTGGTTTTGCTGGTCTGAAAGTTTGCCTATTTATTTCTTTCAGTAATTCTTCTGTTCTTTTAGGTGTAATAATAAAGAGTCTTTCTTTTACCAATTTCTCAATTTCTTGAATTGCAATTATGTGAATTATGGTTCTCGTATCTCCAGCCTATGTTGCAGTTAATACAGTGATGTAGTGCGTCTTTGTAGAGTTGTTGTCTTAGCCAACTTATAGTGTCAATCTTCTAATGATAATTTATAATCTTGTTTTGCTCTTCGAACGTTATTTCTTCCAAGTATTTTATTATTCTTTTCTGTTCTTCTTTGAACATTAGTTCTTCTGATTCTTTGTTTCTTATTTCTATTAGTATTTCTTCTTTCTTTTCTTTGTTAATTAAATTTTGGTCTTCTTCAAGTTTTTTAATTATCTTGTCAATTAATATTCCAAGTTTACTTTTAGTTATTTCTGCCTTGATCATTTAATAGTTTCCGTTTTTAGGCTCCGAATGGTTTATCCGTTTCTGGTAATTGGTCATATAAGTTCTGATTGTTCAGTTTACTTCTTAATACTGTCAGAGTTAAACAAGTTATATTATTTGGGTTATTGATTTTGGATTGTATCCACGATTCAATTTCTTTAAGTCCAAATTCTTCTGGGGTTATTTTTCTGGGTACTGAGTTCTTGAATTGTTCGATTCATTTCTTAATTATTCTTTGGTTCCTTTTTAATTCTTTGATTATATGTTGGGTATCTACCATTTAGGGTCTGTTGTAGTTTTTCCGTTATGTTCTGAATGTCCTTTAGTCAGTTGTTCGGGGTGTCTTTTTATAATTATTTCTTATCAGTAGTTTATTCCAGATCTGAATTTGTATTACTTGTTGATTGTATTTCGTCAATGAGTTCTTTATTTGTGTCGCGTAAACATTCGATAAACGCGTCCCATAATCTTTGTTTATTTTGGCGTCTAAAGATGTGTTCAAATAAATGATAAGGTAAATCCTTCTTATTTCGGTTTTGGCCTGGTATGTTATCTTTAAGAATTCGCCAAGTACATTCAATATTGTTTGTGTGCATTATTTTTAATTCATTTGATTTTTCATCTATTTCTGTCACGGTCATTCCTTTGCTGTGGTTTATTTGGTGATGTGCAATATTCAGCCGTTCATATATCTTATCATAACTTTTGAACATATCTGTATAGATCGTTGATTCTGGGTGTATATGTTTCTGAATTAGGTTTAATAATGTTTCAGATGTTCTATCTGGTACTACTTCTGCAAAGAATTCTTTTGTTTTTCGGGATATTCCCCCGAATACCCATACTTTGTTTGCTTTATTGTTTTTCCTATCTTTATAGAATATTGATTCGTCACATTCAACAATATCATCTTTTCCTCCTATTTTGTTTTCAAATTCTCTTATCTCTTGAGTTACACATGTTCTAAATATTTTGGTCCAGTGTGTTATCATTGGTAATGATATTTCTGTTAATATTTCAATTTGTTTTCTTCTGATCTTGATAACCCAATAATATCCTATCAGCAATATTTGGTTACAAGATAATTTGGCGTTTGAGAAGATTGTGCCATTGAATAATGATATCTTCATTCTACAATCACGGTTTGGACATTTAAAGGTTTTCTCATCTAAAGTCATCTGCCGTAAACAATAAATATTTAGGCATTTAAGTTCTCGTGGTATTATTTCTTTGGTCATTAGATATTCTATGCATTTTGATTCGTCTTCAAAAATTTCTTTAAGCTTGTGGTATGGTGGTATTGGTCTAGTTCCTTCCATCAGATTTGTTTTGTTTATATTTTTCAGCTTTTAAGGTAAGGTGTGTCTTCGGGTTGAGGTTATTGTGGGTGTCTTGTACCTTGGGCAAATTGGGCGTTTTTATATCTTTATCTTTTATTCCAATATTTAGTTTCACAACTTGATTTCCATTTTCGTCTAGTTCCATTTGTCTACTTAACCAATCTGCTATTGTGTTATCTTTTCCTTTGATTCGTTCTACAGTCCAATTAAAGTCTTGTAATTTAATAAGCCATCTTTCCATGGTTTGATTTCTTGGCATTTTTCCTGATGAGTCACTTACGCCAGTGTTATCAGTTCTTACAATTACATTTTTGGATCCAATGTAATGTTTCCAATAATTTAAATAAAAATAGATTGCGTAAAGTTCCTTTTGTGTGCTTCCCCATAGTTGTTCATTGGGTTTAAGTGTGTGTGATGCTAATTCAATAATTTCTTCTTCGGATTTGGTGTAGTCATTTTCATCTTTTGTTCCATTTATTCGTGCATCTTTTGTTTTGTAGTGTGCTAAATTTGGATTAATTTGTTTTAGGCACGCGCCTATTCCTTTATCTGAGGCGTCAGTTTCTATTATTAATTGATATCCTTTTTTAGGATATGTTAACGCTATCGCATTATAAACCTTATCTTTAAGTGTTTCAAAAGCTTTCTGGTGTTCTTGTGTCCATTCGAATTTTGAATTTTTCTTTAATAAGTCATATATTGGTCTTGCAATATCTCCGAATTTCGGTATGAATCTCCGAAAATAATTCATTGATCCTGTAAATTGTTGTACACCTTTCTTATCTTTCGGTGGTTTAATTTTTTGTACTTCTTCTTTTTTCTTTTGATTTGGTAATATTTGTCCATGTTGTACTTTATGATTTAGTATCATTATTTCTTTCATTATGAATTCACATTTTTCAGCTTTTAGGGTGAGGCCCGCTTTTTTTATGCGTTCAAACACTGTTTGAATATGTTGAAAATGTTCTTCTATTGTTTGGCTTCCTATAGTCAAATCATCCATGTATACATATACATAATCCAAATCTTCAAATAATTGAAACATATATCTCATCATATATGCTGGGGCTGTGCTAATTCCCATAGGACATTTCGTAAATCTAAACTTTCCTACACCTGGAAAGTACGCAGTACTTTTATCTCTATCTCCCATTTTTAACGGAAATTGATAATAAGCACTTTTAAAATCACAGGTCGAAAAAATTTTTTGCCTTGCTATTTTTTGGAGTATCACAGGTATATTTGGTATTTCAAATGGATCTTTCTTCAAGTATTTGTTTAATAGTATATAGTCTACTGCGGCTCTGTAGCTGCCGTCAGGTTTTGGTACTATTACTAATGGTGCCATCCAGCTTGCTCTGGAGGGTTCTATTATATTTGATTCACTAAGTTCTTTATATAATTTCTTTGATTGTTCTATTTGTTCGTCAGAATAATTTCTTAATGGTCTTGCTTTATGGTTTTGTGGTATGTCTTTTTCTGGAGTGTCTAGTTCTAATTCTATTTCTCCAAGTCTTCCAAAGTATTTTTTATTAAAGGTTGTTCCTTTTTCTTTTTTCATTCGAAATATTTCCATATATTTTATAAATATCGGTCTCATTCTTTCTCTATATTCCTTATTTGTGTTTTTAATAAGTACTTCCAATCGTTCTTTTTCTGTTAATTCTTTTTCTCCAATTTTTATATCGTATTTGTATTTGTTTGTATCACTTAATTCTTTAATTTTCTTTAGGTCTTTAGTAATCTCATTAATCGTTCTTATTTTATCTATTTTGGATATATTCCCGATATGGTCTCCTTTTCGTATTACTTTGGGTTTGTTTGTATAGTTAATCATTCTGATTGTCCAATCATTTATTAATCCATTCTGTATGCATATGCCTTCTTTCGCAATATGCAATGGTGTTGTTACTAAATAATTTCCTTTTTTGTCAATATTAATTGCAGTCCATGTATTTGGTAGCAATACGTGCTGATCATTACTTCGTAATGGTTTTCCAGTTCCTAATGTGGGTATTATATGTTTTCTATATTCGTTCGGTATATGAGCTAATTCTTCATGAATCTTTAGTTTTACTCCTTTTTCCATTTTTATCGGTTTTACTTCTAGTATATTAATTTCTCTATCTTCATTTCCGTATCCATAATCCGGTGCTTTACCTTTATGTCTAGGTGTTCCTGGTCTATTCGTTATTGGTCTTAAGTACGGTGAGTCTGATTCTTGGTTTATTCCTATTTCTATAGGATCTCTATTGTATTCTGTTATTATTGATGGTCCTTCATTCCTTTGTTGTTCTTGTTGCATTTTAATATTTTTTTTTTTAGTTATCGTTAAAAGTCGTCGCTAGAGCCTCAATGAAATCGTTGTTAGAGCCATCGTCAAAGCCATAGTTAGAGCCGTAGTTGGAGTCTTGAAGTTGTGTAAATTTCTTGTTACTTTGGTGATTTGGTAGGCTTTTTTTAATAAGTTCATTGTATTTTGTATATTTTCTTTATCGTTTTCATAAGTTCTTTCAGTAAGTTTGTTGTTTTTGGTTGTAGGTTTTTTGTCATTTTTCATAGATATTTGCTATTTCTCAATGGAGTTTCTGGCAAGTTTTTTGTCATTTTTCTTGTTTTTCTGTGTGTTTTTTTAACAAATTTGTCATTTTTTAGTAAGTTTATTTAATAGGTTTTCGGTAGGTTTTTCTTTCATTGTTTTCGGTGAGTTCGTTCAGGGGGGTTTCGTTGTTTTTCTCTAATAAATTTATTGTTTCTTGGTGTTAATCATTGGTTTTCGGTAGAGTTGTTAATAGAGTACTCCAGTCAATAGTAAAACATATAATCCACTCTGAAGCACTCCAAAAGTAGGTTATATGTTTTATTAATGTCTAGAGTACTCTATTAACAACCCTAGTTTTCAATGAATTCTTCTTTTGATAAATTCGTCTCGTCGTTTTTTGTGGATTATTCCAGTAAGTTTTTTTTTCGTTCTTAATCAAGTTGTTTTTTATTCGTGTTTCAAGTTTTTATTAACGTGTCTTTGCCAATTTTTTGTTAGTAGAGCTTTGAATTATTCTTCATTTGCATTTTTGCTTTCAGTTTTCTGTTTTTTCCTTGTTCTTTAGTGCTATTCTTGTTTTGTTTTGTTGCCATTCTCATTCCGTTTTCTTTCTTGTTTTCATCTACCGTTCTCGTTATCGTCTCATTCTATTTTCTTTCTACCATTTTTAGTTTTAAAAAAAAAACAATTAATTAAATTAAATAAATTTAAAAAAAAATGATAAGTTGTTAAATAAATAAATTAAATAAATTCTCCTGTAAGTTAAATAAATTAGAAAAAAAAGTTAAATTAAAAACTCTGATAAATTAATTAAATTAAAAAAAATTAATAAAAAAAAATAAATTAGAGCTTGGAACCGAGTTATTTTTTTTATATGTTAAACCTGGGTTTAACACTCTTTATTTAATAAAATTTTTTAAGTGTATGTGATCGACTAATCAAATTAGATCGTGTGTATCACATGTATGTGATGTATGTGATCGAATTTGATTGGTTGATCACTAGGGTTGCCATAAAATAACACCCAATTTAAAAATATAATAGTAATAACAATACAATTATAATTATGAGTGTTGCTCAAAAAAAACCTGACAATTTAAATATAAATTATATTTAAATTGTTAGGTTTTTTTTTGGCAATACTTATACAGATCGAATAAAGCCATATTAGGAAGTGAATATTTAGATAAAACTAAAGACATATTAGGTTTTGATATATTTCTGATTTTTTATTTTTAAATCATAAACATATTAGATATCCGATATGTCCATGAAATAAATCTGAAAACAAACTAATAAACTTTAAATATATTGGAGATTTTTTATATTTAAATCATAGACATATTAGGTACCCAATATTTTTTATAAAGCAAATTTGAAAAAAACTAATAAACTTTAAATATATCAGAGACTTTTGATATTTAAATTATAGACATATTATGTCTATGAAATAAATATGAAGATAAATTGATAAATATTGGTTGTATAATAGAGCTATTGGGTAATATAAATTAATGTTTTAAATCAGCTAGCTTGCTGCAGTTTATTTACTATATCTTATATTTTAATAATAAGTGTGATATATAAGTTGTAGCAAGCCAGCTAATTTGAAACACTAATATTATACTTTGTATATCCAAATTATACTTCAAAATAATAATTTGTAGCCATTAGAATTTTTTTAGTTGATGTATATATATGTATCATCAGAAGCAATATTAAAGAAATTGAAACTTTAATTTTTTTTTTTTTTTAAATATTAAGGTGACCACTTAGGCCCTTGGCACTTTATTAGTACAAGCGGTAGGCCAATGTTAATTTTAGCACCGGCTTTATATATTACATCAGTATTATGAGAGTACAACTAGTCACACGTACAACTTTTGATTGCCTATTTAAGTAGTCCACCCAAAGCATTAGTGCTATGCTAGAGGTTCTATACTAGCTGTCATACCTATAGCCTAACTAGAAAGCTATCTATTTAAACTCTCTGGCTTCAACTAACATCACATGATCCCTCCTAATATACCTCCATATGGAAAGTAATTTACCGTTTAAGACTCTAAGACTTTAGCCAACAACAGAAGGCATTTATCCTTGTAGTAAACCTAACAGAGCGATGCATATCCCACACATGCGCTCACCTATATGTTTGGTAGCTTCTTCCTAACTAGTACATGTTGTACTGCCGCTACCGGGTTCGTATCTCAAGCCAACTTTTGGGTGCTGCCGTAACCCGATCCATATCTCAAGCACAACTTTCCTAATTAGTCGCCAATTACGTACTCCTGCTCTTGTAAGGTTCACAACAACCCTAGTACCCACATTCTAACCATCTTTTTACCCGGATTCTCTATTGGTCCCTCCCTTACTTCCAGCCAGCAACCCGGACGAGTTGGTCTGCCCAGGCTTTAGGTGTCTGAAGGACGCCTCCCCTTGGTCCATACTTTCGGAGCATATGGCCTTTTTCTCTGGTGCGTCTAAACCGGCGGTTCGGCTGGTGTGTCCTCCTACTAAAGGACCTGATCGCTCGGTTCACCAATCTCGGGCCCCTGTTCAAATTCAGCCTTCATGTAGTACCGTCGAAGATCACTACTACCTCTTAACTCAGAACTTCCCAAACAGGCTTCGATCTCCGGTCCTGTGACCCATACTATGCACAGCCTACAGATTACAGCCTTCTGGAATCACCTCAACGGTGCCACCTGACACCGTTTCGACAGATCCTCCATGGGCCAACCTTAGTGAAGATCATCGCGGACTTTTCCCATATTACAAAAGCACCGTCCCTGGGATTTGAACATGGGATCTTCCCATAACGTTTAGTGAGGATGACAACTAGACTACTTCACTAAGTCGCCACACCTCTAATTAAAATACTTAAAAAATATATAAAAATAATTTAATTTAGTAAAATAAAATAATTAAAAAAATTTATTTTAATGTTGAGGTCTAAGATTTAGCAAAGAATTAGAAATTTGAACCCAGTCAAGGACTGGGTCTTAAAAACTAATAATATTGAAATCTAAGAATTAGCAAAAAAATTAGAAACTCAAACTTAGGCAATATTAAAACCTAAGAATTAGAAAAAAATTAGAAACTAGAACTCGAGCAACGCCGGGTCCTAAGAGCTAGTCTACCTTCATGCTCTAAGTAAACTAGTTCTATGTATAAAAATATATCATATAAGCATACGTTTACCTTATTATGTTAAATTTTAAGAGAAAAGATGCTTAATTTTGAAATTTTGATCAAAAATTCAAAATTAAGCATCTTTTCTCTTAAAATTTAAAACTATAAGGTAAACATATATTAATATGATGTATCTTTATGCGTAGAACAAGTTTACTTAGAGCATAAAGGTGGATTTAATTAATACAATTTTGTAGATTGTAATATTTTACATAATTTTATTAATAAAATTATGAAAAGATTACAATTCACAAACATGCAACTCTTTCTGATGATCACTTGAACCATATTTTCTGAAAAACATTTTACTACAAAAAGAGACCTTACAAACCGGCATTTGACATACTAGACAATAAGTCAGCACCTGTTATTTAGAAGTAGTTTTCATACGCTACTTGCTAACAGACTTAGAGTTTATCACTCACTGCATAGTCTTGGCACTTGTCGTTTAGAGGTAGTTCTCATATACTACCTGCTAGTGTCACAGTGTTTCTTAATACCCCTTGTAATAGATAGTGGTACCCATGTGATTAATGATCAGGTACGTGATTGAATATTGTGATCAGGAATATGTATGATCCCGATTTAATTAAAAGCCTAAAAATAGAATTGTATAAACAATGTAGTAATTAGAAGCGATTAGTATCGCATAAACAATATAGCAATCAATAGCGATTAGTAATTAATATGTAATTGCATAAATAATATAGTAATAAAATATATATTGGTAATAATATATAAGGCATTAATCGGGAACTCTTTTCAACGATCACTTGAATCATATTTTCCGAAAAAGATTTTACCGCAAGAAAAGACCTTACAAGCTGGCACTTGACCTAAAAACCTAGACAGTAAGACAGCACTTGTCATTTAGAAATAGTTCTCATATGCTACTTGCCGACAGGCTTAGAGTTTATCACTCACTGCATAGTCTCGGCACTTGTTATTTAGAGGTAGTTCTCATACGCTACCTGCCAACAAGCCTAGAGTTTATTACTCACCAAAAAAAAGATTGAGCAGGTGTTGGGTAGTGGGTCTTGACTGTAGAAAAGAAAACTCATACTCCTTTAAATTGGTTTGAAGCTCAAGTGGTCCCTCTTTATCTCTCGTCATTTTTCCGTCGGTCTCCAAAAATTTTTCATAAAAAGTAGGGGATTTGGCTTACCCTCTCCAAAAGATCGGCATTGTTTACTTACCAAATCCAGATGGACTAGTAGATAGCAACCACATGTTTGGAGACAAATACATTATACGGGCTCTAGAACGAATCCCGATCAAAAAAAGAATTCCTGGTGGTGGCACCAAGTGGCTTGAGATACGAGTATCCGAGTGATAGCGTCTTTACAGAAATGTTGCATCCTTGTTGTCGTTGGCGCCGTATATGGAGAGTCGGATCCTAGTACTGCGGCAGCACTTGGTTTGAGATATGGTCTAGATTATTAAAAAGATTCGGAATTGGGTCAGAGAGAATTTTAAAGTTAAGCTTAAATTTACAACAGAGATATACAGATGTTGCATCTGGTATATAATTTTTAAATCACCTGATATGGGTTATAATAGTGTATTTAGAT